ATTTCAGCAAATTGTGGGCAAAAATAGGGCAATTTGATGTGCAAAAATGGACAATTCGATGGGGAAAATGGGCAAAAAATGAGCAATTTTCTGGGCACTAAATTCACAATTTTTAGGCAAAATGGCAAGAATTTGACATAGAAAATGAAAAAAGAATTATTTCCACAACTTCTTGACGGACATATTCTTATCGGAATCCTTTTGCATCACTTTTCCAACAGCCATCTCGAAATCCTCTTGTGTAACATGAATACGTCTTTCACGGAGTGCAAACATTCCGGCTTCCGTACAAACTGATTTCACTTCTGCTCCAGATGCACCTGGAATCTGCTCAGCAATCTTGTCCATTCGAATTCCACGCATCAGATTCATCTTCCGAGAGTGAATCTTCAGAATCTGTGCACGTGCCTTCTCGTCTGGAGCCGGAAATTCGATTTTTCGATCGATACGTCCGGGACGGAGGAGCGCGGAATCCAGAATATCGATACGATTCGTCGCCATGATTACCTGGAAAAAATTAGTGAAGTGGAGTGATTTTAGCCAGAAAAAAGAGGACCAAAACCATTGAAATAGCCCAAAAATCCTAAAAATTGGACCAGAAATTAAAACCAAAAATTGAGTTTTTTGGGTCATTTTTCAGATTTTCTGAGTGAAATCTAGAATTTTCTAGGTCTCTAATTAGAGGTCAATTAGGTTAATTAGAGGGCGACTAAAGTGTTTTTAAGTGGAGAAATAAAGATGAAACTTTGGTGAGCAGCTTGGCTGGGGCGCCTTTGGCGCGGTCTTCGGTTTTTACAGATTCTCGAAAATTTCAAATTCCATTTTTCTTCGGAATTTGGTCGATTCGAAGTTGAATTTTGTGATTTTTAGATAATTTTCACTCAATTTTTCATGATTTTCCGACCGTTTCCATTCATTTTTAGCCCAAAATTTCAAAGTTTCAAAAAATTTGGTTTTTGGCGAAATTGATGATTTCTAGCTCATTTTCATGCAAAATTCGTTGTTTTTTTCGCGATTTTTTAGCCACGAAAAATTAGGTCATGACCTAGAAAAAACGGAATTCCAGGACCTTGAGAGCGAAAAATCCAAATTTTTGTACTTTTTGGCTTTAAACACCTGGCGACTGTCACATTTTTAGCTCATAAAATCCATTTTCAAACCAATTCCATCTGATTTTTCGATATTTTCATTTACCTTGATGTTCTTGGTAGCCTCAAAACCATCCAACTGATTGAGCAACTCGAGCATTGTTCTCTGTACTTCAGAATCGCCACCACTCGATCCTTCGACTCTTGACGATCCAATCGAATCGATTTCATCCATGAAAATGATTGATGGAGCATGTTCACGAGCCATGACGAACAGTTCACGAACCATTCTAGCACCTTCTCCAATGAACTTCTGAACAAGTTCCGAACCAGAAACACGGATAAAAGTGCATTCAGTGTGATGAGCAACAGCACGTGCTAAAAGAGTCTTTCCAGTTCCGGGCGGTCCATAAAGAAGCACTCCTTTAGGCTGAGCAATACCGAGTGCATCGAACAATTCGGGATGTTTGACAGGCAATTCGATGACTTCCTTGATTTCTTTAATCTGTTTATCAAGTCCTCCAACCATTTCATATGTTGAATCTGGCACTTTTTCAACCATCATCAGTGATACCAATGGATCCACTTTATTCGGTAACACTTTATGAATCATATAGCTATCTGCTTTCATTGCAACCCGTGTTCCAGCTGTCATTTGAGACATATCCACCGATACAGAATCCACGTTGACAATGTATTTGCCGTCCGGATGACTCTTCACAAGTACTTTCTTTTTATCCATTGCTTTGCATACTTCTCCTACATGACTTGCTTGTTCATGCAATCTATTGATTTCTTCTTTCAACTGTCCCACCTTTCCATTCAACTCATTCTTCGATGCGCCCAAACGACGAATCGTTTGCTCCTTCTCACGCACTTGTTGCTGCAAAAAACCGATTTTTACGGGTGAATATGGCTTAAATCAATTTTTCGAGCCCAAAACCATCGAAAATAGGGATTTTTAAGGGTGAAAATTGCTGAAACAGCTGAAAACTCCACTAAAAAGGGTTTCAGACATTGAAAAAGCCGAAAAATCAATAAACCTCTGCCTCATCTAGCTTAGTTTTCCAGTACTGTCGAAGTGTGTTCTCGTTGGAATTCTCACTGATAGTGATAGTCCGCTCCTTTTTACGGGAATTTGGGAATGTTGGAGCTGGTTCCATGACGGGGTTTTTCGCTTGAAAATTTGAGATTTCTCGGGAGAAATTGAGACAAAAAATTCAAAGGGAGATTGAAATTCTGAGAATTATAGACGAAAATTGATAGAAATATCACGAGAAGAGGTTTATAATAGGGAAATCCTGATGTGGTGCATTTTCGCAGGGAAAATTGAGGTTTTTCTGGTTAAAAATGAGCTTAAAAGTACGAAATTCGCAAAAGAAGCCGAAAAGTCGGCTGAAAATCGAGAAAATTTGAAGAAAAATGAATTGCGTTGAATTTCATGACTTCTGAGGTTGGTGAGCTGGAAATTTGGGAATTCCGCATAGAAATTGACGCAGTGAACAGAGAAAATCAATTTTAGTAGCAACATTCTGGGGAAAAACCAAGAAAATTGAACGAAAACACAACGAAAAATGGCAAAAAAACACTGAAAAACGTTCCATAACAATATTATGCTTGTCTAAGAAAAAAAAGGTTGAGACGCAGAGAAAAAGTGTCTGCGTCTCCACAGTTTGTGTGCTATTTAGGCTCTCCGCTTCGAAATCGCTACCGTACTAAGACAGCAAAAAATAATCTCTAACCTTTTTTTTCTCAGACAAGCATAATATAGCCCAAAATTCCACTTGTCTATGCAGAAAATGGTGCGAAAATGATGAAACTAAGGATTAGAAGCTAAAAATCTAGCGAAAAATCAGAAAAAATGAAGAAAAACCACTAAAAATGAGAGAAAATTGACTGAAATGATGACAAAAATACCGGAAAATTGAAATTTCCCGACGTCCGCAATTTGTCGCAGTGTATACTGTCTACAGTAATCTTGGAATTTTAAAAATGAATAGAAAAAAATAGGTCTATTTATGGGTTGTCACGGCCTCGCGGAAGGGAACCTAGATTTAAAAATTGGAAAGCGCGCCAAGTTTGGACGCGTCGCGCGGTCGCGGCTTTTCGGTGAGTAGCGACTCAACAACGTTTAACTTCACGTTTTTTTCAAAACACGTTTCAAAATTTTCGAATCTGGCACGCAGCCAACTTTTGTGTGCGAAGAAGCGCGCGTTTTTCAGGTTCCCAACCGCGATGCCGTGGGTTGTCTCTGTGAAATTTCAGTCAAATATGCTGAAAAATCGTTCAAAAAATATTTATTCAAGTGTGATATTTTCACTTCCGTTTTGTTGGCTTAAAGGTGGTGTACGGTGAAATTTATTATTGCATCAAAATTTGCAGAAATGCATGTAGATTGACTTAAAAATAAAGAAAAAACTCAAAAAAATCCTTCATCGCGAAAATGCATCGAAAAATACGCTGAAAGCCCTTAGGGACGAGGNTTTTTCTAGGCCGCCCGGNGAGTAANAGCGCGCGAATTCAAACTTTTAAAATTTTTTTCGCTCGTTTTCACTGTTTTTTCAAATTTTCCGATGTATCTGGAATAATTGACAATACTAGAAAACTCTTGAAAAAACCGA